TCCACCACTCCTAGCCCCCATCTCCCCAGCCCAGCTTGAGCATGGCTAGAGTCTGCCACTGGCTAGGCAAAGCCCTGCCACTGGCATCCCATCCACAGCTGGCTTCCTGGGGTAGCAAACATAACTTTTCAGCTCCTGAATTGTGTAATTGTTGGGAGTAGCTGCTCCCTCCCTCCTGAGCTTGGCTGCCTGTACTTGGAGGAGCCTCACAAATGCCTCCAGCCAAAAGCAAGAGCAGGACCACTCCTAGCAGAAGTCTCTGGCCAGAGGTCCAAACCTGGGGCTTGGGCTGTGGTGTTCCTGGACATGAGACTGCAGGGCCACTCGGCTGGCTGGGGTCTAAAGTCTGTGTCCCTTCCCACAGCTGTGACCTGGGCTCAGTGTCCTTCATGGCAGAGGGTCAATTCCCTGAGGGCAGGGAATGCACCCCTGCTCAAGCACCACCACTACCACCACCACCACCACCCCACCTTACCACTCTGCACCCCATCTAGGGCACAACACATACCATTTACTTGCAGGCTGGCTTTGGCCACAGGATTCTTGGTGGGGCCAGTGGTCAGGGTGCAAAACACAGAGTGCTGGTCCCTGGCCAAGGACAGGGCCAAGTCACGGACACTGCTAGGGCGGGCATTCTTAGTCCAAGAAGCACTGGGAGTAAGAATGACCAGGAGCACCCCAGCAGCATGCTTGGCTGAACTCTACTGAGTTTGCTTCCTCTTTTTCTCACAGAGGTAGATAACTTGGAGAAACTGAGACTGGACACACCACAGGTCATGGTCCCTTCAGAGACTTTTGAGCCCTCTTTTCACCTCCTCTCATGGTGGGGTAGGGAGGTTGCATCCTTTTTTTTTCCTTTAGATGTGCTCCAAGTCTCCCTCTTCCCCTACCCCTGTGTGCCCCATTCTGTACTTTGCTGGGAAGGGCTCAAAGGAATAGGTACTCCCAGTCTGGAGGCCAGGGGAGATATTGATGCCATACCTCCTGACCCAGTTAGATTGCCCAGGGGGCACTAGGAGTACTGTGAAATTCAGTCCTCCCAGAAGTCCATGGAAGGAGAAGTCAGTGAGTAGGAGGGAGACCAGGAGGGCTTCCTTGAGGAAAGTAAGATGTGGTCAGGGAGGCTGAGGCAGTCAAAGATAGTTATCAAAGACACCCAGCCAACTCAAGTCAGGGAAAATCATGGCAAATGTCAGAAGGCAGAAGGGAGGAAGCCTGAGCCAGTCTGAGGATGCCAGCTGTGCACAGGACTGGGGCCTCAGAGGCCTCAGGGGAGCACGCTGAGGAGGCTGGGAGGGGACAACTGAAGAGCAGGCGCTGCCCTGTCCAACGTCCCTGCTCCGAGAGAGTGGGCAGGATGATTCCAAAACACACCAGGTGTTTTGGTTACCTCTGTGCTACTCTAACAGAAGATACTACAAATGGGATGGCTTTAACAAACAGGAGTTTATTCTTATAATTTTGGAAACTAGAAGTCCAAGTTCCAGGTGCCAAGCTCTAGGGGCTATGTGAAAGCCCCTTGACCTTGGGCTTTAGCTCTGCCTCTTGCTCCTGGCCCACTGAAGCTAGAGGCATCTCTTCACTTAGGCAGGTATTGGCTGCTGAAGCAAACCAGCCCAAGGTCAACAAATAAAATGGCACAGTCCCAATTTTACCAAACAACATGGTAGGCCATTGATTCAAGTCCATTGAAAGTCCCAAGAGTGGTAGAGTACAGCAGGCTGCTGAACAATGACTCAGCTATGTGAAGGGTTCAAGCGTGCCATTAAGCTAAAGACCATTCCCAAAGCTGCTTCTTATATATGGGAAGCAGACCACATCCCTAACACAGTTACTCAGCTGCTTGTGGTAGATCCCACTATGGAGTTGATTGCCAGTCTCATCATGGGGAGTAACTACCACCAGCCACTCAACCACGCCCAGCCAAGTTGACACACAACCTTAACTACCACACCAGGGCATCAGTTTCTGCCAGTCGGCCTGGCATGACGCCACTCAGCATCAGCCCAGGGTTCAAGTCCCAGGCTGCAGGCTGAGCATGGGCCAAGCCTGTGTGCTCTAGGTTCCCAACACCCCTTTTTCACTCAGAACCTCAACTTCCTCATCTGTGGAAAGGGAACACTATCCTCCAACATACACACTTCATAGGGTTGTCAAGAGACCAGGTGACTGTTTTATAAACTGGGAAGCTCCAGCACAGAAATGCATGCCCGATTATGACTGCCTGCCGTGCTAGTTGCCATTATTTTTCCAGGCCTGTGTTTCTCTTCGCAGCTAGCAACAAGGCAGGGGGAGGCTCCCAGCTAATACGGACTTGCCTTGAATCTCAGCTGTGGGCGGGAACTCCCTGTTTGGAGGCTCCACAGACAAACGACTCCTGGAGGCAGTGGGTAGGTTTATGTGAGTGGGGATGAAGGAAGATGGATGAAGACAGTATGGGGGGAGGATCTCTACCCAAGTTTTTGATTCATAAAGAAGCAAAAGGCTTTCCCTCTCTTCTTTCTTCATTCCTAAAAAGAAAGCTCTTTTCCTCTAAATACAACCTTCCAAGCAGAGGCCCCCTCAGTCCCAGGCCCACTCTTGGCCAGTAATTAGCCCCTAATGAGGACCAGGTGCCTTACTGACTGAGAAGAAGGAAAAACAAGGGACAAATGTGGAATCAGTGGCTATATTGCCACCGAGGCCAGCTGGGCAAAGCCCCAGCCCCAGGCCTTCTGAGGTGACTGGACGAGTATTCCTAGGTCTGCCAAACTCCCCTTAGAACAGCAGCAGCTGGCTTCTTAGTCAAGCCCAGCAGGCATTTATTGAGCACCCACTGTATGTTGCTGCCTCTGGAGGGGAAGGTTTAAGCTTTGACCCTCAAAGACCTGACTTTCCATCAAAGGAGGTGATGGGTGTGAAGGTATGTGCAAACTGTGAAACACTTTGAGGATGTGAGATTGACAGGGAGGAGAAAGACTAAACATTTATTGAGTGCCTGCTGTGTGTCAGGCCCTGGGCTTGGCACTTGAGGTACGTTAAAACATTTCATCTTCACAAACCCAATTTTACAAATGAGGAAACTGAGCCACAGAGAGATGAAGCAACTTGCTCAAGCTTGGACAGTTAAGCAGGAGATCTGGGATTTGAATCAGGTCTGTCTGGGTCCAAGACTAGTCCTCATAGCCACCACATAGTCCCTGCACCAACACACTGTGCTGTGGTAATGATAGCACTGGACCTGGGATCAAATATCTGGCTCTACTTCTTAGCAGTTGTATTTAAAAAAAAAAAAAAAAATCACTGCCATCGAGTTGATTCCAACTCACAGTGACCCCCATTGGGTTTCCAAGGCTGTAAATCTTTACGGCAGTAGTCTGCCCCATTTCTTCTTCATAGAAGCTGGTGTGGTCAAACCACCAACCTTTTGGTTAGCAGCCAAATGGTTTAGCCATTACACCACCAGAGCTCCTTTAGCAGTTGCATAGACTTGATCAAGTCCCTTAACCTCTCTCAGTCTCAGTTTCTTGATTTGGAAAATGAGGGCTTAGTTTTGTTGCAAACTATAAAGTGCTATACATATTGTGAACCTGTCATCAGCTAAGGGGAGGGGCTGGAGAGAGGATAGGGGTTGGGGGATGACCTGGGGCAAGCAGGTGTCAATGGAGGGATATGGTTGGAGGAGGAGAAGGTGACAGTACTCCAGGGATGTTCTTCTACCCATTCACTGGATAAAGATACCAAAGCAGGCAACGCTGATGCTGGGGCTAGGTAGAGCCTCTGGGTGCTGGAAGCTCTGTAATAACATTGCCCTTTCTCTTCTATTCAGAACAAGGCTGATGTTGTTACCTGGGAGAAAGCCAGGAGAAGGGCCCCAGCCTGAGACTGTTAGGTAGGAGCTAAATCCAGGGCCAGATTTCCAATATGCGGCCTGGAAGTTGAAACTCCCAAAATCGGGGTCAAGAGGCCAGGGGATCCTGGATCCAAGTGGCCAGGGGATCCTGGATCCAAGTGGCCAGAGACCTACTGTTGACCTGGGGCTTTGTAAGAGCCACTGCCAGCTCTGAGCCTCAGCTTCCTCCATAAAACGGGAAGGATTGGGGGTCCTCTACCACTTTGCAGGGTTACTTGGAGAGCAATGACACCATGGATTTGAGAATCCCTACTGCCTTGTGGCATAGTTGCTAAAGCACTTGACTGCTAACCAGAAGGCTGGCGGTTCAAACCCACCAGCCACTCCTTGGAAGGAAGGTTGGGCAATCCTACTTCTGTAGTGATACTGACTCGGAAACCCAAGGAGGGGTCGCTATGAGTCGGGGCCGACTCGACGGCACATAACAACAACAACAACAACTGCCTTGTGGAGGGATCCAGAACACCTCTCCTTGACAGGGAGACTAAGGCCCTATGGGGCAGCAGAGGTCAAGGTCACAAAGCCCCTGGCACAGAACCACCTTCCCCATTGTTGCTCCTTTGCCTGAATAGAGTCCATGATGAGGTCCCAGAAGCAAAGCTGCCTGTAATGTAGCCTGTTGGGGTGAGGTGGCATCTGGCCTTTCTTTGAGGCTTGTAGTGTCTCCCCACAGACACAAAAGAGAAGGGGAGAGAGCCGGCTTCCTTCTGGAGGGACCTCCGGGGAGGCGGGCCCTGGGTCAGAGCTGAAAGGGTCTCAGCCCATGGCCTTCTTGCTCAATTTCCTCAGGGATTTCTGCCCCAAATCTCTAGAGTGGGGCCTGGGTTTGACCAAGACTTAAGGGTCCTTTCCCCACTTCCCCGAGAAGAGCAGCCCAGCACGGGCTCTTTAAGAAAGTGGGAGGGGTAGTGGGGGGGGGCAACCGTGGGGGGCGGCCTGAAACCCGAGTGCGCGAGTCTGTGCCCGCCCCGCCCCCGGAGTTAAGTGTGACTGGACGCCCCTGAAGTCCCAGCCCGCGTCTGCCGCGCCTGGAGCTTTCAACTCGCAACTTTGGTGCCCAGACTCAGCTGAGCTCCTTGCAAGTTCTACGGTCCATCCCGCCGCCGCGATGCGCTCCGGCAGGCGGTCCCCGCCTCCAGCCCCCGCCCTGGCCCTGGCTTTGACCTTAGCTGTGCTGGTGGACCCAGCATCCACAGGTGAGTGAGGGGCCCGAAACCCCTGACCTAGTCTGGCTGGAGCTGAGGGGTGTTCTTAAAGTAGGGAGAAGAGACTGGAGGCGCCAGACCCAAGACGAGATGGCGGCGCTTCTCCCACCTTAGGCTAGGGTCTCTGAGAGTTCGACCCTGGGGTGGACACGGAACCCCACCGAAGGCGCTGGATCCCACGTTTTCCGCGCTCTGGTTATCTGAGGTTGCCCAGCGCGCGTGGCCAGGGGCGCCAGGGTCTGACTGTCTAGGGCGTGGCTCAACTGGCTCGGATTGTGGGATTGTCCGAGACACCCAGTGAAGCCGCCTCAACGCCTTCGAGGCTCCGTGCACTCTGTGCATCCGTTGGCGCCCAAAGGACACCCAACGACAGGGGAGAGCACGTACCCCAGCCTTGGATGCCCAAGCCAAAGCATAGGAGTGCAGCGGCGCTGGAAATGGGGAGTGAACCGCCCTGCGTCGGGCCCCATACATATGCCTCTACCTTCTACCTCCTCCAGCCTTTCCCTAGCCCTGCTCCTGTTCCCTCTTTCCTTGTTCCCAAGTGTCTGATCTGATGTCTGGCTGGCTGGCTTCTCTGCTGCCACCTTCCACTGCCCTCTCCCCTCTCCAGTCTTCCTCTCCTTCCTCTGTCTTCCCTGACTGATGACAGACAGGACTACCCACCCTTTAGGGCTGTAGAGGCAGGGCTAGTGCAACCCTCTGCCTCCTCTCCCTGCCCCTGGTGTTGCTACCTTACCCCAGTGGAGGCTGAATGAAAGCTTGCCTTCTGAGGAACACTAAGATATGCCCCCTCTCTGTCAGAATGCCAGAAAGCCTACCATTACAGAATTATTCGTTTAATTAAGGCATGGTCTAGTTATGCCATAAGAACCTTAGCCTCAGGGCCCATCAGTCATTACTACCCATGTATGAATCAGTGCTTCAGCCTACATCTTTTGGGACTATTCCCAAGAGCAACTTTGAGCAGACGAAGGGCTTGAGTCTCCCTCCCAAGGGCCCAGGCCACACCCTTCTCCCCATAAGATGGGGAAGCCAGTTCTAATTGAGGGCATCACGAGGTACCCAGAAGGGAAATGAGTCAGGGGACAACACCCCCTCCCCACTGAGGTGAGTCAGGGCTGGATCCCCAGGCTCCCAACTTCTGTTCCCAGAGATCCCACCCCCCAGTATCTCAAGGCCTGAGTGACAGGCTGGGCTCTAGAGAAGCAGAGTGGGTGCATCCAAAGTGACTGCATCCAGCCCCCAGCTCTCAGCCATGGGAGATTCCAGCACCCCCACCTCCTTGGACTTCTGAGAGCCACTCTCAAATACCTTCTCAGCACCAAAAACATGCAGGCATTGCACTAGGTAATGAAGGTACACAGAAATGGACAGGCTGAATGTGGGCTCATTCAGCAGACAGAAAAGCAAATTAAAACTCAAACAACTGGTTGGGTCTATAAAGACCCAGATGAACAGTACAGAGAAGAGAAATTCTGGGAGTGGCTGGGGTGAGGCAGGGCAGAGTGGGCAATGGGCCTTGAACCAAGCTGTGAAGGATGGGGAGAGGAGTCATTACTCCAGGTAGGTGTCTTAGCCTGAGCAAAGGCACTAAGGTGGCTGTAAACAGAGGGCTGTTGAGCTAGGAAGGCCAGCAGCCAGGCTGGATGGCATATTTTGACCATGAAGCCAAGAGAGCCATTGGGCTGGAGCACAAAAACATTAAATAGCAGAGTGAAGCCCACAGCAGTGAGGAGCCAACAAAAGTTTTAGGGCAGGGGAGTGGCATGATGCCAGTGGAGTTTTAGAGCATTAAGCTGATCCCTGCCTTTAGGAGAGATTTAGAGATTGGTAAGGGGGTGAGACAGCTGGTATCCTCACCCTCTCCCTGGCAGAGCTCCCCTCCAATAACCCATCTCCACCCCATGCCTAACTCAGCTCCCTATCCTGGTCTCTGCAATAGGAGCAAGCCCCCACCTGAGAAAGGTATCATTTCCTCCCCTCCTGGATGCCCTTGGGGTCTCTACCCCAAAATGGAATGATTTGCTGCACTCATTAACATTCCAGAGCATCCAGGTCATGGTGCCTGGCACCCTTGGAGGCCATCTAGGCCAACCTTCCTATTGTACAGACCGGGAGACTAAGGTCCCAGAGAAGAGGCAAAGTGCTTTAACTCACACAGAGAATCCCAGCCGCCCAGAAAAAAACCCCAGCCCTGCTCTGTGCCTTCTTGGAGGTCTAGACTTAAGCCACTATGACAGTGTGTGTGACTAAGTGTGGTGTCCTTTCTGAGCCCTATAAGAGGCCTTCATTAGAGGGACAAGCCCTTGGAGGAGACTGGGTTTGAGCTGATTCTAAATGGATAGGCAGAAAAGAAAAGATAATCCAGGCATGGGGAACAGCGTGAACAAAAACTAGGAGGTCAGAGTGGGCACGGAGCATGCAGGTACAGTGGTTCCTGCCCTTCTTCTCTTGCCTGGCATCACTGATTTTGAAAGACAGAATGTGAGGGGCTAAAGTAGGACTCAGGCTGGGGGTGCTGATGGGAGTGACTCAGAGCAAGGCTGCAGGGTCACTGGATGCAAGAAATTGAACTAGGGTTGATTCTGCGGCCTCTGAGGATGGGTTGAGGGGATCTGTAGTACTGTGGACAAACTGAGGTTGTGTGTGTGTGTGTGTGTGTGTTTTGCCCCAGGCCTCTGGGGCAGGGCAGGGGCCAGGGCCCTTGACTCAGCCCACCCAGACTCTGGAAAAACTGTTACAGAACCAAGGAAGTATAACTGAGCCCCTCTACCCATGTGCGCCCACCCACCTAGGCAAGACAAGAAGGGCCTTTTAGTGCTGCCTGCCTGGGGGGCCAGGGAGGGGGTCTCGCCAGGTGGGCTAGGCCAGGCAGCTGGCGAGGACTGCGGGTGGGGAGTGGGGAGCGCTTGGAGCTAGCAAAGGAAGTGTATAGGCTCCATCTGGGAACTGGGCGTGCTGCCCAGTATAGGGCGGGCAGGGGAGAGAGAGTTGGAAATAGCCCTGACATACATGCTCGCTCACTCGCTCACTCGCTCACTCGCTCTGCTTGCTATCGCTGGCTTGCTCGCTCACTCACTCACTCACACATACAAATGTGGAACGCACACTAGTAAGAAACAGTACGCGTAGACTGCACACAGCCACTCTCACAGACCTGGACAAGATGGCTGGGACCAGGAGCTGAGTGTAGCTCTGCCTTGCCCCCTTGCTCTCCAATTCCCCTAGGCTGGGTGGTGCCTGGAGGGAAGGTTAGAACAGGGTGGGAGGTGGGGCACTGCTCCCCTGTGGCTCCTATTCAATGCTTGAAGCAAGAGAAGGGAATGCTGGGTCTGGTAGTACTTATATCTCTCCCTGGTGCCTCTACCCCTTCACAACTCCTCCCCCAACTCCTGGCCCCACCCACCTCCCCTCTTGCCTCCAATTTGCCCCCTGCCCCAACATGTGTCGAATAGAGCCTTCTAGAGTTAGGGCTCTTCCTCCAGGCACAGGCTTAGGGTGGGTTCCAAAATCACTGCTGTTAATTGCCATCTAAATCGATACCAATTCATGGCGACCCCACCCATGTGTGCAGAATAGAACTGCTCCATAGGGTTTTCAAGGCTGTGACCTTTCGGAAGCAGATTGCCAGGACTGTCTTTCTAGGCCTCTGGGTGGGTTTGAAGGAAAGACCTTTTGGCTAGTAGTCAGCCACTTACCAGTTTGTACCACCTGGGGACTCCTTCCAAAAAATACAACAAAAAAGGCCAAACTTACTGCCCTCCAGTCGAATCCAACTCATAATGACCCCCATTGGGTTTCCAAGGCTGTAAATCTTTACAGAAGCAGACTGCCTTATCTTTCTTTCCTGGGGCAGCTGGTGGGTTCAAACCACTGACTTTTTGGTTACCAGCCAAATGCCTTACCCACTATACCACCAGAGTTCCTTCCAGGGACTCCTTAAATTACTCTTAAACCCCTGAAATTATGTGAGGAGTTTTGTACATGGTCTTCTCTGGGGAGGGGTGCCTAGCTCTCTCCTCTTCTCTCAAATGGGAGAGGATAAAGCTATATTGTAACTGCACTCCTGCCCCGAGAGGTGCCTCAGAGTAGGCACTACCCACGTGGTCCTGCAACTTCATAGCATCCCTGTGAACCAGGAAACATTCCCATTTTACAGATGAAGAAACTGAGGCTCAGAGAAAATCAGGAACTTGCTTTTGGATATATATGGGCATGAGTATTCTCACTCATTCCAACAACAGCTGGCTTTCCTAGATCACACCAGTGGGCACCCACCCACCAGTGAGGCTTGGTCCCCCCAGCATGAGAGAGACAAGTCTTCAGGCTCATTAGTTCCCTGAGGACTGCAGATCTGTTCCTACCCCCAGCAAATGCCACCCCTGCCTCTTCCAACTCTCCCCACTTTCTCACAGCATAAACAAATCTCCCCTTCAAGAAAGCCCCCACCCATCCTCTGACAGCTGGGATGGCAGATGAAGCCATGTTTGTCTCAGATGTAGGGTGGTGGCTCTGGGGACTGCCAGTGGTTAGTGGAGGTGGCTTGTTGGCGTGGTTCATCCACGTTCTGGAGGTGGCATGGGTGGGCCTGGCCAGGAACAGTGCCTATCCTGTTGACCATTACTTCCTCCTGCTCAGCTCCTGCCCACGCCTGGGCCAGCTCCCAGCCTACGGAGGATCTGGCTCTGCCAACTCTGGTGTACATTAGTCTCCAGACACTGCTCCTGCTTAACTGTTTCAGCCTGTGTCTCTCATGGCTTAACAGACGTGGTGTGTGCATGAGTGAGGCTGTCTTCTTCCTTCTCAGCCTTGCTGTAGAGACCCCCTACCCCAAACCACCAGCCTCCCATGGTTCAGAGGGAAACAGGGCCCAGAGACAGGTGACCACTTATGCAGAGTTGCACAGCAAGTCCTCAGCAGAATGATGGCTAGGCCTCCCTGCCCTTTGTCCTTATACCCTGGTTTGGGTCATGGCCTCACCCACAAGA